ATAATATATATATATATATATATATATATATATATATATATATATATATATATCTATTTTTTTTATATTCGAATTTTATTATATATATAAATATATACATATATATACAATCTCTGATTATTATGTTACTTATCGATATAACATGCTGGGGCCATGGGTGATATCAAACGCATAATATATCAAATGTAATACCAAGACATTAGATGTGTCTATTCATGATTTGTCAGCCCGGTACGGAACACCATTAAGTGTTCATTACCGCGTTCAATACATAAAGTACGAAAAACAAGGAAACATAACTTAACAGATTGGTGGGCAAGGCCTACTATTTTTATCCAACTTTACATTTCATAAAGGTATAAGTCTATATACATTTTTGTTAAAATGTATTGTTTTATATATGAGTATGTCTATTATATAATGGATACGTTGCAAAGTTTAATGAACTACTGAATGAAATAAATGTTAATCATTGCGCAACTTGATTTCTAAATTAAATCACGTTAGAATAGCCGTCATGAAAGAATCATTCGAGTTCGAAAGCGAAAAGCGGAAAGTCTCTTGGTGCTATCGCTTACTACACATTACACAGCCAGACATTGTACGCAAAAACGGAAACTAACAAAGTACATAATATATTGTACATTGTAGAATGTAGCCTATAGCCTGCTGGAGCCTTAATCTGTTCACTTTATGTTGGGGAATGGGGTGGGTATGGAGATTGGGTCTCGCGAAGAATATACTATGTACATATGTTATTTGGATGAATGAATGCGACGATGCGCGCACCATTTGACTCTTAATACAATAGGATTCGAAACATTGTATGTAATATTACTCATACTTTGTAAGTTACATCGTAATTCAAGGCATCATCTTTTCAGTCGTAATACAGCAGTTTGAAAGGGAAAGCAAAAGAAAAGAGAAACGCAGATTCTTGCCATTGATACTTAAGAATGGTTAAACAAAAGTACGTATGAATAAAATACGTGAACCGTTATACCTGTTAGAATACTAGGCGCGATAACAAAGTTACTCATGTAAATACAATCGCATTTACGCTACCTGGAGTTGTTTGTATTACGTATGTAAATTACAAAATGGAGCGTTAGGATGTTTCGAATCTTGTCAAAACTTTACACGACATAGTTGCCTACGATATTGAAAACTAGGTATTACCTACAATCGAATGTATCGTAACATAACAAAACGCATGTCCTTATGTAAAAATTTAAACACAAAATACATTTATCAGTTAAATTATGTATTATTGAATGTTATGATTGATTAAATAAAGTGATATGACACTTTATACTCTCGCGTGTCTCAAGCTTGAAAATAATTCTCTTGTAAAAATGTATTATACGTACAAATTAAGTAACATCTAGCATACAATGAAGAATTATTTTAATAGATAATAGTTACATCATTTTTATGTAATGTACTTATTAATTCATTATTTTCTTTTTTCCTTCTTAAAAGCTTGTGTTTCTCCTATTAGAAATTTACGTGGAATTAAAAACTGTACCTATCTAGATATATGTAAAAAAAATATATGTTCAAGGAATGTGAGAAGAATAGAGGACTACACAATTGAAAGAGAAAAGATATGTATATTATCTCAAGAAATTGTCACAAACATGCCACGATAAATAAGGATGAATACATCCGTAGAAATCGAACTATTCTGGCAAATATCATCTTTAATATTTTTTTTCTCTTTGTGCATCATGTGTAATAATTAAACAAGCTTAATTAATAAAACCATGTTTCTCTAGTGCGATTTGTTTGAGAGATAGATCACAATTATCGTTGTTATTATTGGACTCGTATAAACAAAGATACTACTCTGCGATTTGAAGAATTTGCACAAGACAGAAATACGTACCTCGATTAACTTGTACTAGCCACTTACTGTACTCGATGTAAAATGTCAAAGGTGAATATTATTCCCAGACACATGATCTGACAAGAAGACACCGCGAAGTTGCCCCAAGCAATTTTGACGTTTGGAGGCAGCCATCTATGTTTACACACCGGCCGTTGCTAAATAGCAACCAAAGCGGTACGTGATTCCGTGGGTGCTACACTTTTCAACTATACCAACTCAGCTCTCTCATTTTTCGAACGAACCTCATTTCTATTTCGAAAGGCTTCGTTTAGCTATACCGATATGTCACATATGGGATAGTGGTATGATCGAAATGGTGGGGATTCCTGCACCGCATAATTACGTCTGATTATAGTTTATACGTTCACCCTGTATATCCACCGCCGCCATCTCCGCGCGACTCGACGACAACGAGCGGAATATCTCGCAGCGGTGTGTTTATCTCCGTTGTGTCTCTCGCCTCCTACGCGGACAAAACTCGGGGATTATCACGCGAGAGATGGCTTACAACTTCCCCGGGGTGCCGGCAACCGCTATGCCGCCCATGGGTGAGCATAATCATTACTCTTTAATCGTTACTCCGTTTGCCTTCTAAATTGATCCCTATTTCAATTTTATCTCATCGATGTATTTATCCATAGGTATGGGACCAATAGGTCCATTGGGGCCCATAGCGGGACCACAAAGTTTTATGGAATTAGCGAGTCAAGGGTTCCCACCGCTGCCACCACCCCCCATACCACTGCCTGGCATGAACGACTCACCCCTGGAGTTCAGTACGAATAAGAATCAGCCTCCTGTAGTACGAGAAACCTCAGATGACAGCAGCGACAAGAGAAGCGATAAGAATGATAATAGAAGGGATCGGGAAAATAGGGATAGCCGTGAAACACGAGACAACAACAGAAGGTAATGCTCTATTTTTGTTTGTCAAAAATAAGATGACGAATTGTACGAATATTCCTGACAGTTGCAGCTTTGTGATTTCTGCAAATCTATAGCTTGCACATTATTTTGTAAAAGGTCGAGGAGCGAACGCAGTGATAGACGCGACAGAGATCGGGATAGAAGGGAGGAGAGGAATGACCGAGATCGAAGGGACGATCGAAGAGTCGAGGAGAGAAATAATGCAAATTCGTCTAAGAACAATAGCAATCATACCAACAATTCTAATAACAACGAAGTCTTGTCGTCGACAAATACAAACAACGCACCGAGTTTAGGCACACAGATGGAACCTGCCGCAGGTGTTTGGGGAATGGGAGTAGGTTATCCCATGATGGGTATGGGTCCCATGGGACCAATGGCACCCATGATGGGGGAGATGACTCTAGGTCCACACATGAGTCACACGCACGGTTACAATCCAATGGGCATGGGTATGATGTCACATGATGGCAGCATGATAGGTGCTCAAATATTAGGTGCCGAACAGATCATGACAGATGCGGCGCAGATAATGTCTGCAAGTTTGCCACCACCGCCCACAATGCCTCAAGGTACCAAAGAAATCATACATTGTAAAAGTTGTGTACTATTTCCGCCAAATCCGAATGCTCCACCACCTACCACACGAGAGAGGCCACCAGGATGTAGAACAATTTTTGTGGGAGGTAAACATACATCGAATGTTGAATAAAATTTCTTAAAGATATAAATGTTATCGATTATGTACTATCTTCTAATTGTACTATCTTTATTGTGCAGGATTGCCGGAAAACATCACCGAAGCTATAATACAGGAAATATTCGAACGTTGTGGAGAGATAACTACTTTGCGTCTTTCTAAAAAGAATTTCTGTCATATACGTTATGTCTTGGAAGCTAGTGTCGATGCGGCAATTTATCTATCCGGTTACAGAGTAAGAATAGGATCCAGTGGAGAGCCTGCAAATACCGGTAGACTCCATGTAGATTTTGCTCAGGTTTGTTGGGAATTGTCTACCTAAAATAATTATATTATTATTAACATTCTATAATATTCAATTCTTTATATATAGGTTCTTTATATATAATTCTTTATATATAAGTTCTTTATATATCAAATTGTTAATTATGATTTTAGGCTAGAGATGATCAATATGAATGGGAATGCAGACAACGACAATTACAAAGAGAACAACGTCATAGAGAAAGAGTGGAAAAGGAGAGACAAAGGCCACCCTCGAGTCCGCCTCCGGTAGTGCATTACACGGATCATGAGGCATCAAATATCTGCGAAAAGATTAAACAAGATGACACGTTTATGAAAGCAGTACAAGTGAGTAATCATGATAATAGACGACAATACTTAATTTTCCAGTTTGTAGTTTGTAGTTAAATAATTTTTTTGTATTTGTAATTGATTGCAGGTTGTTGTAACGTGGTTAGAACGAGGTGATTGCATCAAGCGTAATGCCAATATCTTCTACTCTATGATACAATCAACAAATTCTCATGTTCGGCGACTTCTGACAGAGAAGGCTGCTTACGAAGAAGAGCTACAAAAAGCCAAGGAATTAATGAAAGGAAGAATGCAAGGACTTCTTATACAATGTATGTTTTCGCACTTTTTCATTTTTCTATCTCTAAAATAGCTCCATACTATCGTACATATTTCGTGTGCGCTAAGAAAATCCGCATTGGCTGGTAAGTTCACCTTGGCATAATTAGGTCCAACAACCAATAGAGGAAATCCTTATTTGGATATAGTAAAAATCACACACAACAAAAATCGTAATTATCTCGTGAGTTTAAAAGTAACAACAACGGTATCGCTGCGTTCCTCACGCTGTGTGTATGACGAATCCTTGTGCCACATATTGAGTTCCGATAAAAAGCAGAGATTTTTCTTATTGCAGTTACGAAGGTACGTTACATCGTTACGTGATAATTAAGAATAACGATTCATGACATTAAGGTACAACAACCGATTATAATCAGGTATAAAACAAAATCGAATATTAAGCTTGTCGATTTCGGCGTACGATATATGAAAAATCGGCTTTTGCATATCAAGTGATGACGCTTGATGTAAAACCTATTCTTGATACCTACGTACGACAAAGTACTTTTCTGTCTCGTCACTAACTTTAGCAATCTCTCAAGTGTATCATGGCGAATTCGTCTATGAATTCTGTTTGTGGTCAATGTACAAGTGGAGGTGGCTCGGTAGGAAGGATCAGAAATAGTAGGCAAGGATAAGGTGGGTGAAAAATCCTGTCTTCTCGGACTTAGGATCCAACAAAATCGATATAAAGGCGATTTATCGCAAATTCTATCTCATAGAATTATAGTGTACTTGAAAGTTGCATGCTTGGCAATGCTAAGGAATAAGGGTGATGGGCTGGACATCCATTGTTGAAAGACTATTTTGAACTGCGTATTTGAAATTAATATTTTATGTAAGTCTCTTTATGTATACGTATTAACATGCGGATAAGCGTTTAACATCATACGCGAGATTATATTCGCTGTTTAAAATAGTCCTTAACATTGGAAGTCCGGGGATTGCAAGTCTTCGGGGTTACATTATCCGCAGTAAGGTGGAAAGGCGGACGATGAGAGCGGAATATTTGGTGAAAACAACTTTACGTTAGATTAGATGCGCTCCGACACTCGGCACAATCTATGTGAGACTCCGTAGCTGTACATATACGAAAAACACGCTCCGATTATTAAAGGAGGGCTCGAGATACTGTTCCCGTCGAGGAATGTCACGATATAGCTAAACGTTTAACATGACAAGTACGCGTAATGAGTACTAAAAGCATAGACGAAACTACCGAGCTTAGAGTATCAAGCAAAAGGTATACAACGGAGGATTTGTTGTGTTTTTTTGTATGCAACATGCGACCATGTCATCAACAGTCAGTCAGATCGAACGAGTCTTTACTGCGGCCAGCCACAAGAAAGTCTGGGATCACTTCACTAAGGCGCAGCGGAAGAACATCGAAATGTGGAAGAAGCAATCCTCGGTATGTATGTAACGCACTCTCACATGCTGGTAGCGTGTCTTCTGTATATACTTTTTCTTTTTCTTGCGTAACTTAAAGCAATCTCAGAATCTGTTTCTGTCGCAATATGCTCTTCCGCGCGTTTGCACGATATCTCCAAACACTCGCTCGTTTTGCAATTTGTATTTCTAAGATACCACAGGTAAGTTAAGGAAAGAGTCGAATCTCGCCTGCTATAAAAAAGAAAACGGTCAGACACACGCTTTCCTTCGTGCGAATACAATTCGTTACTTTTTCGTGGAATGCCGTGACAGTATAGCAGATAAATCCTGTCGGCAACACGCACAACATTAAGAACAACATATGGAACAGAAGGTAATAACGAGATTAGTACTTTCGGATCGAAAAGCAACTACAGACTATCCAGCATGGATTCACCTTACTTTTTCGAACAGTGTTATTCGATTATACAATACTTGTTATTTCTGTACTTCAGAGGTGCATCTGCTTCTTAAGATCAGGTAAGCCCAAATTGTTCTGAAAAAGCGAACATGTCCTAGAGACACATTCTTTCGTAATCAAAACTGGAGACAAAATTGTATATCGCGCCTCAACTCTGAATTACAGAAATTTACGAAACTACGTGTACATAAGGAAAAAGAACAATTCTGTACATCTAAAAAAAAAAGAAGAAAAAGAACAAAATCAGCCACGTTTAGAGATGTATTTAAATACTATTATTTGAACGCGACAAATAGAAAATTATATATTCTTATATGCATGCATTTGTGTGAGAAAATGACACTTGCATTTCGGAAACATCTTGTAAGTTCGGCTATTCGTAATGACAGGAAATAAAAGCGGTGCAGTTGGAAGACAGCCTAATTGAAGGCGAAGGCGAGATGGACGTTTCGGATTCGGAGGAGGAACCTCAACGTAAAAAAGTGCGTAATCAATCAGACGGCAATCAAGAGGATGTTGAGAGACTGCAAAGTCTCAAAGAAGAGAACGACAGTCTGAGATGCCAGTTGGAAGCATACAAAAACGAAGTGTGTATTAGTTGACAAGTAATTTGACTATATCAAAACGATATCGAGGAAAGTTCCTAATTTATCATATATTTTCTGTAGGTGGATCTCTTGAAATCGGAAACAAAAGCAGAGTTAGAAGCGAAGGAAAAGCAAATGAAAATGCTGCAACAAACGTTAAAAGGCATGCAGGAACAGTTGATGCAATCGCGTAAGCAACAGGCACAGGACGATCAGAAGATCAAGGACTTGACTGTCAAATTAAATGCCACGAAGAAAGAAGAGCCCAGAGAGAGTGAGATTATTACGCTTGACAAGGACGATGATATCAGCGAAGAACCACGTACGCCGAAGCAACACATTCTCACCTCCAGCTTCGTGCAAGTGACCCAGAAGGATGCTAAGCTCATTGGTAACATAAAAATTTCAGAAACTATTAGAAAATAACTTTGATTATAACTTTTTAATATGTAATACATTGCAGGACTCATAGCGACGTTTCTGCACATCCATCCTTTCGGCGCGAGCGTGGATTATTTATGGTCCTATTTACAGAAAATGGAACCCGGCATTAAACCGAACGAAGTCGAAGTTTTAATGCAACGTTTTCCACAGGTCTTCAAACAGGAATTATTCGGTATCGGAGCAAATATGGAAAGACGTTGGCAGTTTTCAGGTTTTAATGTTTATCGCAATCATTGAATTTAGACGAATTGAATGTAAAAAATTGTGAAAGTACATTTCTCTTGTTGTTCCTTTCTTTCTTCTTCTTTTTCTCTTACCTGTGAGTCATGAGATTTATCGATGATGAGTGTATAAGCGATGAGAAGATTTCATTGTCAATTAATGAAGTATCAATTCTTAATTATAAAAATATAAACAAATATTTCTCAATTTTAAAGATAATTCTTATCTTGATTAGTTCTCATCTTATTACTCTTTAAAAGATATGCAACATGTATACAGTATTTTTCATACATATAAGATGAAATTGTATCTGATTTTATAAACAATTATACATATTTCATCGATCATTGTCATTGTTAGGTATTGCTTTTGTATTTCAAAGAAACTTCTTTGGATTATTACATTTTATAAATCGCGGTATAAAATCATAAGACCGTTGTATTTTAAAGTTAATTTCCCTAGTTGGACGCGTGACGCTAGTAACTTGTTAAAAGAAAATTTTTGGAGATCTGGAAACTTCACTATTTTAGAGCCAATCAACACGCGTTTCAAAATTTATCGTAGACGAATGAAATATTACTCTGCAAAACGAGGCGATGACAGGAGCATGCGGGCGATATTGCTCGCCTCTTGTAGGTTAAGAGCAAAACAACATTTTATTCAGTAAATCCGTAAAGATGGATTGTTACGAACTACTAGGCTGCAACGAAAATTCCACTCACGAAGAACTTAAGCGTGCCTATCATGAACGGTTATTACAGTTTCATCCTGATAAGAACAATACAAACGTCCAAAAGTTTTTCGATATCAAGGCAGCTTGGCAAGTACTCGGAAATCCACAGACCAGGAAGCGGTACGATGCTGCCTGCGATCAAGAGCGATTGGAGCAAGAGGCTAATCTCGTGTATGCGCGGATCTCATCGAGCGATCTTGAAAAGTCCGATTTCGAAAACACATTTTTTTACCGATGCAGATGCGGTGAGAGATACCTCGTTGAGCCAAAAACCCTGGAAGCGAAGAACACTAGACTACATGTGATGTGCGATGGCTGTACGCTTGTTATTATTGTCGAGACGTAGCATTGTTTTCGAAGATACGTATAGAACCTATAAATCATGACTGAAGGACTTTATTCAAGCGAGTGCCTGCACAAGCAAGAGGATGAAACAAGATATGTTTTTCGTATAGTAAGATAATCTCCACAGCTGTATAGAAAGAGGTCGAAATCGAACATTTATTTTGTACAAAATATGTTTCTTAGCACATGAACATGTATACAGTTTGTAATAAATTTAAAAAAAAAAAACAATCTAAAATATGCAGCAACATCTTGTTTTCTATTTCTTATAAAAAAAAAATGATACAACAGGTAACACATTCTTATAATATAAACTATTGAGCAATATACAAATAAACACGACACCTAGTCTAACCTAGGTCCAATAATAAAGATGCATTTGCACAAATCGCATAATCCGTTGTCATTCATGACATGATTCAGTAGAATCAATATAAAATTTATCAGTGACAATTGATGCAATGTTCTAAGTCTTCATACAATTCGCACTAAAAATGTAAAGATCTGGCTAATACAAATATTCTCCCTTTAGCAAAGCCTTTTATTTAATATTTACAAAATTAAAATACTTTAATTGTGAACAAAAATGTTGCTCTGCTTTAAATTTGTACTAATTTACCGTTTTATAAGTCTGTATTGCACGCGATTAAGTGCACTATTTTGTATATTGCACCATAATGTGAAATATGCAACATTGGAAGAATTTTTTACTACAAAAAAAAAAAAAGAAAATATTTATCGAGTTCGTGATTTGAGTGATTTGCTTTAATCAATTGCTAGAAAATCTTATACTTCTTCGGAAAACGTTAAACATATGAAAATATTGACCTATAAATATTTATAAAAATATTTGTTCTTAACCAGATCGATATTTATGTATAGGCAAGTAAAGTCTAAAATTATGACCAAGAAATATTGAAGCTGACAATTTGATGAAGATCAATTTCATCATTTTGACGAATCGGCCAATAAATTACAAATGTTGCGATGTACAACAAACGTTTGAAATTTTCCGTAAAAAGATTTATATGGTCCGAATGACGTGTCGGAAAATGTCGACAATTTTCTGATTAGCTTCAGGAAGTATGAGATTCTTCGATTAATGTCGTTTTGCCTTGCAGTTTCAGTACGTCTTAGTTTCAGTCGCCTCGTTTTCATCAGCCATCGTTGACAAATGCTTCTAAATGCCCACATAATAAATCTGTTATACTTGCAATGAATCTCATTGGGGATGTTTGCTATTTTTGCATCATCGATTCCACTGAACCGTTATAACAGCGAAAATTCGGAAGTACACTGATAAGCTCCTCATCCCCTCCCCCCCCCCCATAAATTTACGAGTCTTACAAATCTTACGTTTGTACATCATAACAACGCACGCGCGCTCCGACAAAACGATATATTTATAATTTCTCGACGGGCACTTTAATCCATCAGGAGATCATTCGCTACTCATCTCTTTCGTTTCCTTCGAATTTTTTTTTTCCTTTTCCATCTCTTCTTATCCTCACCTCCGTCTCTCGCAATACTCGCCCGATTTTTACGGCGCGTACACAGTCTTATCACAATCACACCATGTAATACATAAATCATTGTACAGCGTAGATTAGTTTTTAGACTACTTAATTGAAAATATGTACACAAGTCGTACAAGGGGGCGATTGGATCCACGACATTGGTAGCGCACTATTTTACCTCAACATCGAAATCGAGGACAAGTAGTTTCGTTTCCTCGGTACCGTTTCGACTACCTACTGCACACACTAGTTTCGTATCACTCGCTCGAATTCTCCACACAACACCGCCGCTACCCCCACTTTCCAGTGCAACTAGATTCCTAATGAAATCACCTGCGAACACAACGCAAGTTGTTTTTGTCAATGCACATTTCAGAAATTCTAACTAAACAACGATAAAATGAAATATGAATAATGAAATATATACAAACCAGTCTTAACATCCCAGAGTTTTACTGTACCATCATCAGAGGATGTAATCACAAAATGGCTATTGAATTGAAGGCAAGTGACCGCCGATTGATGTTTGTTCGGACCGGAGAGAGTTTGAAGGCAGTGACCACTAACAATATCCCATACTTTAACGGTAGAATCAGCGTTGCCCGATACTAAGATATTATTGCGCAACTCCATCCCTGAGGTGAGAGATTGATGACCCATCAGGGTATGTCTACAAGCACCTGTTTCTACCTCCCATACTCTTATACTTGTATCCAATGATCCGCTAACAACGTGCACGCCGTCGAACTAACGAGGGAAACGGCATACGGATACTTGTCAATGCTGAGAAATCAAAAGCGAACATCTGGGAGTGATATATCTTATACTTACCTGGAGGGAATAAACGCGATTGGTATGTCCTTGTAAGGTATGAAGGCACTCCTCACGCTCCGGATTCCAAACTTTGACCATATAGTCATAGGCACCACTGACCACCAACTTTCCATCATATTGCACACATCTGACTGCTGCTAGATGTCCCACGAGCACATGTAAGCACTCTCCCGTGTCCACCTGCCACACTCTTAGTGTTGCGTCTCTACTACCACTGACGACCTTATTACCATGCAGATGCATACACCTAACCGTCGACGTGTGACCGTATAATGTATGAATGCACTGACCAGTTTCCGCGTTCCACACTTTTAATGTACGGTCCGTACTACCACTGATAACAATTGTGCCGGACATTTGTGAAGACCATACACCTCCAGTGTGTCCAACTAATGTTCGTAGGCACTGAAAAACATTGAGAAAAATACGGGCTATAATAATCTTATTTTTCATGTATGTGATGACTAATTTCTGTGATTTAATTTACCTTGCCTGTAACAGCAGACCATACTTTAAGAGTATTATCATCTGAACCACTAACTATCCGATTTCCAGAAAATTGAAGGCATGTAATAACATGGTCATCATGACCTTTTAACACTTTTGGTGTACGGATCGGCTTCGTTCTCCAATTCATTTTAATATTATGCTGCCGCATATAAGCCTGTTTCCACGGAGATGAATTATGGTTGCCGCTTCGACAGTTCTTTCGTTTCAGTGGTGGGAGATCTTTTAAATCCTCTATGCCGGCTGCCTTGCACTTCTCTTTCCAAAGTAGATTGTCGTCAGCTAGGAAACGCCAGTTTCGACAGGTCTGCGCCGCTCTCAGGAGATCCTTCGGCTCAAGAAAGGCCAATACTGATAATGCCAATTCTTTCGGCAACAACGATATAAAGTCTCGTTGAAATTGCGGCTCTATCACCTGCATCATGTGACGCACTTGCGTGGGCTCGCATCTCTCTATTAGTTCGTCTATCGCTAACATCCTTTCCGCGTTTGACCATCTCTGCAACAAGTATTAGTTTTACTTTGTTACAAAAAAAATATGTAACAGTTGAATATAATTAATTACATATTTTTTTCCTAGTTTTATCGACGTAATTCCTTTGTTATTATAATATTTAGCAAGAATATATCTATAAAAATACCTGAAATTGTAGAAGCCAACTGCTCATTTCTGGAGGAGGATTGTCCTTGGTAGGAATGACACATCTCACATGTTTACCTTTATCATCTAGTTTTCTAGCAGTCCTAAAACGAAAGAAAAATATTAAAAACTATGTATAATTATAACTTTTAGATAATATACAATATACAATATACAAATCTCACATTATATGACACTTTTCTTCTGGATTAAGTTTTTTACAGGGTAGACAGCATTCTGTTTCACTCTTTCGTTTTCTCTGAGGTTGGACAACGTCTGATGGCACACAATTATGCGATACTGGACTTTGTACCTGTTCAGAGAGAACCGCTTGAGATTGTGACACGGGTGACTGACAATTGTTGCTCTCAATCTCTGCTGTACACTCGGTGTCACAAAACAATCCACTGTCGCTAATCTAACAATGTGACAGAATATTAATTATTGTTAATCACACGTAATCTCACAAGTATAAATTTAATAAAAAGAAATTATATCTTATTTGTAATAAAAGTAAAATATAAGATAAATAGATTCATCAGATGCTTTACTTTGCTCTAAGAAAAAAAATGGAGGATATAAACAAAATAGAACTTACTTCACTTTCTCCTTCGCTACATTCTTCCTCGCCCTCCTCTTCGTCATCTCCATAATCCTCGGATTCCCCGTCTTGTGGCAACACTGAATGCATAGGATCCAAGGAACTTGGCCCTGGAACTCCCTCGATACCCTCAATTGGACTAGGACTGGCACCGCCTAGCTTATTATTGTCAGATATATTGTTGGAGGACGAAGAAGGGACAGACATTACTATACACACTGATAGGTTTACGGGTATAGTAACTGTACCTAAATAACACAAAGAGTAGCCGTTAACATAAATGATATATAAATCATTATCCGATTTATCATCTTTCGTTTTATCCGTATGTTTTCTCGTGTACAAAAAATTGCAACTTCAACATGTAATTCTAACGGAAAAACGCAGCTTGTCTCTATCTCACTGCTCTATGTCACGAAATCACACGAAACTATGGAGCTGTCAAAAAAAAAAGAAAAAACTAGGAAGGGGAAAAGAAAGGAGAAACGCACAGAACTCTCGAATTAAAATCCAACGAACGACCGATCATCATTGTCATTCGAACCTAACCTTGAATCCTCCGTGTCATAGGCATGTGGCCACGATTTGTGGCTCAACATAGCCTAAAATATCGAGAACGAAAAAAATACATCAACAATGACGACGACGAGCTGCCGGCAGCCACACCCCACGTATCCGTCGCGAACGACGCGATGCGGATTCGCGACAAGCTGCGTGCGACACAAGGGACACGAGAAGCTGCATAAAACGGGGGAGGAAGCTATACTTAGGATGAGCGCCGTTCCCAGTCGTCAGCCTTTGTCGGTCCCCCGACGTGCGACGGGGATTGCGAGGGGTCCGGTGCGTGTCGATGATGCTGTTCGGCGACGACGTGTTGCCTCTATCAAAGGAGCATGGCATTCATCTCTCTCGCGTGCGGCGGGGGTGATTTCTTAGGTTAGAAACACGGGCGATACGCAGCGAAGGGGAGAAAAAGAGAGTGGCGTAAACCTAGGCTAACGCGGGTGTCGAAGAGAAGGCGGGTGACGGACGTAAACACGACGTGCGGAGCGAATCCATCGGGCGGCCTCCTGCTGCGGCTCTACCAGCTTTTTGCCTCTCCGCACCTCCCAACTCCTACACACGAGTTCGCACACGTTCTCACGGCAGGTACATACATATATATATATCATACATACATACATACATACATTCATCATACATATGATATAAACGTATATCGCACGTCAGGACGCACGCGCACGCGACATTCTGTCCAGTGTCGTCGTGCATACGCGACTCGTGATTTCAAAAGTTGATATATTGCCAGATGGTAAAACAAAGCGAAAAATTTCAAGTTAGACCAATTATTACGTTTTACGTTATGCGTGAAATCTTTTCATCTCTAATGTTACGTCATAAACAGGCAAGAGAGATGAGATCTTTGGACAATTTTATCCAGGATAACGGGATGTCGTGAATCGAATGATCGCGCTAGTGGAGTTTTGTGAACGCCAGAACGACATTATAAACCTCCATAAATTCTCCAATAATTTCTTTCCTTTTCTATGTATTTAGAGAGAGAAAGAGAAAATGCCATTTACACCTTTCTGCACTCAAAAGGACTTGTTAGTAAACTGCACGTATAATAATATTTTACACTAGTGCATTTGCTAAACCTATAAACTTGAGCATTGTTTACATTTTTATTTGTTTATGATCTTTTGTAAAATATTATAACACTGGTTTAAGGTAGGATAATGTATGAGTCGTCTGAAACATTATTATTTCTATTATAATTTATAGATTGTTTTCGTTACACATGATTCAATTATCATACTAATTCATTTCTACAATAGTAGATTAATTTAATTTTAATCTCAACTCATAATTTATCTTTTATTTTTTTTAATTTTTGAAATTAGAAAAAAATTAAAAGTAAGTTAAACCGAGATTAATCTATATTGATAAAAATGAATATAACTAGTAAAATATAGATACGTTGAAAGTAAAAAAATAAAGATAAAAAAATGTATATGGTATACAATAATGTCTGTTTCTTATTTCATTACAGAACAAAATGTCAGATGACACAAAGATTCTATTAAAGGATGCCCGCGAATCTTTCAAGCAAAATGAATATTTGGAAGTTATAAAGAAATGTAAGAAAATCTTGAAGAAAGACAAAACCAATTATGCAGCATTGCTTCTATTAGCTCGCTCTATGCAAGAGGTGGAAGAATTTGAATCACAGGTGTCTTTAGTTCTCCAAAAAGCTGTGGAGGTGCAACCGAATAATCCATTGGCCTGGCAAGGTTTAGTGGCATATTATGAGAAAGCATCACAGGATCATTGGGAAAAGTTGGTTCTAGCCTACTGCAAACTGTTGGAGTTGGATAGGTAGAATATTGCTATTGATTCATAGAATATTTCAAACTGAAGATATAAAGATTAGAAAAAAATGGATTTCCATTTTTCAGTGATTCTCCTAAGTTCATACATTTTGTAAATAAAGTTTCTGAAATTATCTTACGTATCAAGGATGATGACGTATTATCTGAAGTATTGGTCACACTAAATAAGTTACGAGATGTTTCTACACAGGAAAAGAAAAATCTGATCAACAAGAATCTAGCATGGGTTTTTTCAGAATATCCTAGTAGCATAAACAAACATCAGGAGCTTTATGAAAATGTGTTTGCATCTGTTATAAATGATGTAGAATTAGTAAATAGACAAGAGTATTATAGGAAATATTTAAAGATACTGTATGACTCAAATAAATTTACGAAGTTGCTAACGGCAGCTCAAGATATGCATATTCAATTTCCACAGGATATCTGCCCTTTAGGTAAATGAAATTTGTTAGTGTTCTTATTGAAAAAAAATTTTATGCACTGTTACACTCCAATATAATTAGTTCCTTTGTGCAACAGAGTGGTTATGTCGTGTCTATTATGAAAAGACTGTATTGAATGAAAATGATTTTGAGATTGATATAACTCAGTTTTATGAGTCGCTTCTAAAGTTAAATGCGAATTCCGAAACTGCCTTTATTGCAAAAGCAACATATTTGTGGACAACAGACGAATTGATCGATTGTCGCGATTGTTTGAAGCAAGTAATTTTATTAAACCCGCAGTCGTTTTATGCTTGGTTGATGTTAAGCCAAGTGTATTATAAGCTTTACTGCTGGCAAGAAACTGAAAATGCTTCTGGACAAGCGCTCCAACTGATGAAACCGTCTTTAAAGGACAAATTTAAATATGAAATTAATTTGAGATTGCTTGAAGCAATGAGTAGAAGCAGTAACAAACAAAAGTTGATGGAAGCACGTCAAATATGTGAAAAGGTAAGTAGTATTTAAAATAAACTTAAAAATATTTTCCTGATATCTTGTTAATGTATAATAAATGTGTATTTAGTTGTTATACATCGAATCTACTGTACAATTGCAAATAATATATGCACGTACAAGTATATTATTGGATGAGCCTGATGCTATCGCAATATTAAGCAATTTAGAAACTCAAGATGAAACTAAATTCCAAGTCTCTATTCTCAAAGCGGTCTATTTAAAAAAAATAAACAGTATGAAGAAGCTATTAATGCTCTCGAACTGGCTTTAGAGAATTCTGAAGCTTGGTTGTTATTTGGTAAAATATATTGGGATATAGGAGACTACAACCACAGCTTGATAGCATTTTTAAATGGCATTCAAGCAGATCGCAATAATTGGGAATGTATGCTTTATTTGGGGCATTATTATCGTGAACAAGGTAACGACATAGAGCGTTCGAGAAGGTGTTATCACGCTGCGTTACAGATCAATCCGAATTCTGAAGAAGCTGGTATCGGATTGAGCACTGCTTATCGTCTTCTCAAGAATACCGTGAGCGTCATTATTTTTTTCTATTGTAGAACACAAATTTATGATCAATTATTTGATCAATATTAACAATACATATACATTTAGGATGCCAATGTACAATTGTTGCAAAGAGTAACTACGCAAGGTACTGGACCGAAATGGGCCTGGCTCCAATTAGGCTTACACTACTTAGATCAAGGTGACGCGGGACAAGCTATCACGGCATTACAGCATGTGATCAGAGCTGATCCTAATGACAAGTATAACATAACTTGCTGTTATTTTATTGTGTTGCAGAACGCTGTGACATTTCTTATCACAAGTTTGCACTTTGTACAGTCATAGCTGGGAATCTCTGGCGGACGCATACTTAATACGTGGTGCTCACACATCGGCATTAAAATCATATCAACGGGCGCTGCAGCTCAGTCCAGGGTCCCTGTATCCCATGATACAACTCGCAAATATCAAATTAGTGAGTAAAATTTGTGAAAATGATATTGTCGATATTGTTATATATTGATACAAAATCCTTTTTCTAGCTCATTGGTCAACATAAAGAAGCAAAGGAAGATTTTGAAAGTATATTACAAAACGATGTACAACATATTCTTGCATTAAAAGGTCTAGCACAAGCATGTTTAGGTTTGGCAAAAGAAAATATTGCGAAACAATTTTTGTGTCGCGCGAGGGAAAATCTACAACAAGCAGCAGACAATTTGATAGATGCTATCATGATACGCAATGATTTGCTTTGCAATTGGAAATTGCTTGGCGATGTGTGCTATAGAATGGCTATTTTACCAGAAAAATATTGCTATTTAAGAATTAAGTCTATTCTAATGAAATACGATAGTGTTGAAAAATATTTAAATATCAAAGATGATGAGATACTCGCTTTATCAATAAGGTAAAAAGAAAAATTGTTTTATAACTGTTTTGGGGAAGGAAGCTAATGTCGATTAAATGCGATTATTAAAGCATTAAACAAGAAATTTTATCAAATTTCAAGTTTAATTTCAAGAAACTGTTTTATTCTCAGATGTTTTTGTCGAGCATTATCCATGCAGAATTCTGCATTTTTATGGTATGATTTAGCGTGTTGTTATTCGCTACAACTAAATCGCAATTCGACAATTAACAAGAATGAAATAGCAGTAAAGTGTTTTGCGGCTGCAAAACATGCCGTTAAACTTTGCCCGTCCTCATGGCTACATTGGAATCTTTTGGGTATTATTTGTATATCGCCGTACATAAAAATTATGCCTTGGCTCAGCATTGTTTCGTTGTGGCAATCGATAGAGAATCGAATAATGCAATAGCTTGGAACAATCTCGGTGTATTATACTTGTATTTAGGTACTTAAAGATAGTATCCATTTTTCATTCAAATTATTATTACATTTGAGTTTTGAATATTGTCTCATACACGTTGCTAATATTTAGGAGATATCTACAGAGCAAATGAGGCATTTTCTCGAGCGCAACGTGCGGACCCTAGTTACGTAAATAGCTGGGTCGGACAAGGATTAATCGCGGAAAAGACCCTCAGGAAGGAAGCGATGGATTTATTCCGACATTCGACACAGTTGGGTTACCATAATCAGGCGGCTCTAGGCTATGCCCATTGGGTACTTACTACTCTTCTGAATCCTACAATGAAGAAGGATCCATTGTCAGTTTACGTTATCGAAAATATGCATGCAATACCTGCAGCAGCCGATATTCTTACTTGGTATACAGGTTAGCAGATAACGTTATTAATGCTTAATGTAATACTCTTTTTGTACTTTAAGACAAAAGTAATTTCGACATTTTTTAGAACGAGAACCCAATGATGTTTATGCTTTAAATACACATGGTTTATTATTGGAACGATTGAAATTATACAATACGGCGGCTAAACAATTTTCCAGAGCTTTAGAATTGAGCCAAGTTGAAAAGAGGGATATGATATCTTTAAACTTAGCACGTGTTTTGATTCAAATTGGAAAATATGAAGAAGCAGTAGAATTATGCAAACAAGTAAAACGTGCAAGTTTCAATTCTCAGTGCAACCTGGCATTATCTCTATTTAAAGGTATGGAAATCTTAAAGAGAAAATACATATGAATACATATGAAATTACATTTATAACATATAATTTTTGAAAATAAAAAAGAATTTTGTATATTTAGCCAAACAATACGAAGAATCATACAACACATACGAAGCAGCTTTACATTGGTTGGCAGATACAGATACGCATAAAGCAAATATCTTATGTGCCATGGCTGCTATTGCTTATCTTTTCCAAGGGGCAGATGCTGTCAAGACATTGCTATTTCAATGTATACAAATAAAACCACCTACTATAGCTGGTTTTTTGGCAACCGCGGCTTTAGGAATTTTACATGATGATTCTAATCTGACTTCCTTGGTACTGAACGAACTGAAACCTTACGAAAATCATCACGAGTATGGTCATGACATTGTCACATTATCGGCATATCATCAAGTTATTCAGGGAAATCTCAATCAAGCTATTCGAATACTCGCCAAAGCTATTTTCAGGCATCCTAGTAAGCAACATCCATATCATACTATCAACAGATCGCAAACTTATTGTTTACAATATATTTTATTATAGATGATACTAGATATTGGATGCGTCTCGTTCGAGTTTCATCATTGGATACAAATCTGAATATCTTCCGAAAATGTGCTCCGACAGCACTGATGCTAAGCAGAAGTACATCTATGACTGATACTGTATATATTGCTTGCGCATCAGCTTATAGTCACCTTGGTACAAAAGAAGGTCTCAGACAAGCTGAGAAGAATATATTTACATATCCTGCCAATGCTGAGAGCTGGATTACTCTCATTGCAGCTCTTTTATCCAAGTTAGTATCATGAAAACATATTAATTTTGCCTGTTTTAATTTATTGAAATATCATATATATATTTTATTTACAGATGCGTAGATAAGGATTGTAAAATTAATAATCGGTGGATATTTTCATTAATGTCAGTAATGAAGTCGAGATTTGAAATTAAAAGTTTGGAAAATATGTCACAATGGTTATACCATGTTGAGAAAAAAACAAATTTTTAAATGAAACCTCGCGTAACTAATTAGACTATTTTATTATATTTTATTCCAAAAAGTATGACATATTTTCTCTACGGGCTATTGTACATTATATTAATAAATCTTAGTTGGAATAATTTTACTGATGTTTTCTGAATCCAACTTTTATCGACTAGATGAAGGTGCATTAAAATTAGTTATTTAGATAATAAGAACTACAATTTCGTCCATTAGTAGTCAACATAAACATTTATTTATTGACTTAACTTTAAGTTCAAGATGAAGCATTGGATCAGCGATTTTTTATTGTTCTACATTTTTCATATGGATATATTTTCATAAACACACTTACAAAATGTCTCGTAATACTGGCCTATTGCTAGCGAAGTTTCGTTCTCGCTGTGGAAAATTTGATTGAAAAGAATTTGATTGAAATCCAGATGTGCCAGCTCTTCTTTGTTTCGATCTATCAACTATTATTTCTGCGCAGAGATGTTCCTCTAAAGTCTGCAAAATATGAATAAATTAATAATTAACATAGAAATTATTATTTTGGCAGAACTTACTTTAGATAATATGTGATTATTTTTCTTTAGCAAAGCAATCAATTTGTAAAGTTCAAAGTCCTCGGGAACATTTTCTTTTGCCATAGTTTCTTCTAGCTCCTCAATCTAAAGATATGATAAAAATAAAGTATGACAATATCCCATATGTTGCATATTAAATCTATAAAAGTAGACTGCATACATACCACATCAATGAAATAATCTTCTGTTTGAATATTTGGTCTATCATATTCCAATGATGATCTGAGAATGGGAACTATCTCAGTAAACCTCTTCAACTTCGTATAGGCCAGAACTTTTAAACATCTCACTTGAATGTATCGACCCTCGTTTATTGAAGTTAAGATCTCTACGGCTATATGAGCTGCATTCTGCTTAATGGCTAGAGCTGCTAAAAATGCAGTAGCTCTACGCATAACTAAATGTCCCTTTTCATGTATTTCTTTCCAGATTTTCAAGCCATATTCCAGTGTTTCTGGTGTATTCTAAAAGTAATAAGCATAATTATATAAAGGCAAATTTCATTACAACTTCATCTTCTTTCACAAATCATTCCTGGAAAAACATTACCTCCTTATAACAAGCAGCCATAACTAATATGAAAGAATTCCTAGGATATCCATTTTCCATAGGTTTGGTTTTAATTATGTCATAGACATCTCGCATTTCTGCATACTTTCCATGCTTATATAACAGAGACAAGAGAATCTGATAACTGATCAACTGATCAAAGAAATTTTCAAACTTGGGATCCTTAAAAGCAGTAAATGCGAGATCTGGTTCATCCAGATAATACAAAGTACGCATCACTACAGGACCAAAGATAAAAGTACCAAATCTCATCTCCTTGGTCTGACTATTGAACTTTGTCAACATTTTAATCAGCAGTTCAATATCTTCAGGTTTCTTTTGAGCTAAGTGCAACATGGCCTTTAGATCTTCTGTAAAGATCATACTTGAGTCTGAATTGCATACCTCCTCCATTTTGGTGCGGAATGTATTCTCTACATTTAAAAACTGATTACGAAAGTTAAGTCGTGCATTTTCGTAACCATTTAGACCCAGACTCTTGTCGGAATATAGAGATCTACAAGCTATAAAGTGAAAAAAGTTTTCAATATTAAGAAATGCAAAAAAAACTTAGCCTACAACAAACATAAAAAGATATATCTGTTTAAGATGGAAAATATCATTTTTTCTTACTAAATTCTACTTGGATATATAATAGATTTGAATATATTTTTTGAAACGTGTTAATCACTTACTTAATATCTTTCTATCGATAAATTACAATTAAAATTATGTTAATCTACAAATGACTATATTGATATTAAAACATGTGTTATCGGAATATAAAGATTTACAAGCTATAAAGTGAAAAAAGTTCTCAATATTAAGAAATGCAAAAAAACTTATTAGCCTACAACAAACATAAAAAGATATATCTATTTAAGATGGAATATCAGAATTGCGTCAGGAAAAAATGAAGTCAAAGTTGGGTTAAGTATTACGTACAATTGAGAAAGCTATTTCTCAAAAAAGTATTGCTTGCCAATCCCACGTTAAACTTCATAAGACACCTTATTGTCGCCGCCATTATTTCCTTATAAAAACACCTTCAATCTTCTCTTCCTTATACTTATATCTCAATTCTTTAAGATCTGGCTATCGACAAGCAAGCCGCTCGAGCACATGAAACGAGGAGAAGAACGCATACGTGCGGGAAACCGGAAGTCAGATAATTTGGTCCCACGTGATGTCCGGTTTCGAATCTATGCAGAATTTATATTGCCCGTCATGTAGCGTACAACATTCGATATCTAATAAAAAAAATACGTTTTCTGAAGGTAACGTATATTATCTAGAAGAATCTTATTCGTTTTCGGTTGGAATAGAGTTTGATCCGAGTTAATATTACATAATATACTTCCTGCACTAAGCCTTTCTTGTTCTTCCTTTTTCTAATGCTCACGTCGTACGTTTGTCTCGCTTTAGGTGCAGAAAGTGCACTGTGGCAGCATAACCTATCAAAATTCATTTCAATCGAAAATGCTATTAAATTATATTCCATAACCTTCTAATGATCACGTTATGTAAGTAATGTTAATATAGCGACGTTATATCGGATAGAAGTGAATATTAAAATGAGAATATGATATCCTTTTGACAAATTTACAAACACATCTCATGTTACATAACAAAATTAATTCCCGGGAAGTCCCTAAACATATTCCAATATTTTTTAATTTCATTATCATATAAATGTAAAACACAATAATTGGCTGATTAAATTAATCCGAGTTAATCGAAATGAATCCTAAAATCTTAAATTTTCAAAGTTTCACTATTTCTGGGATTCTCCAAAAATCATTGAAATTTAAATTAGTGCGACCTCTTTAACTGTTTTTTTTTTTATCAATTTTAAAGATTTAAATTTCCAAGTTTTGGCAATTTTTAATTTTAATTGTCATATTTGATCGTAATGTTTTTTGAATGTGTAGGTTTTCAGTTTTCCCTCTCAAAATATCGATGCGTTCCGAAACTCATTGAAAAAAGAAGCGCTTCAATATTCTTGTCCCCGAGTTTGACAAACAGTATATTTTTCGTTACTAGTTATTATTGTATCGATGATTAAATAATTGACATGGATGTGTGTGTGTATATATATATGTGTGTGTGTGTGTATTATGTGTGTGTGTGTGTGTGTGTGTGTGTGTGTATATGGATAAGGTTTTTCTAACCTCTGAAACACCGTTTTCGGCGGCATATGCAGCGTTCGTCTAAATTGTTTCCGAGATCAATTATTGAATTGAGATATGTCGAACGTGCACACTGTGAACAGTATTATCAGCAATAGGAACCGCGACTGCCTCGAATGCAGATTGTTGAGCGGTAGTGGTCTTGTCGCCGCCGGTTTATACGTCTGTCATCATTCCAAACAGTACCAGAATCAAGTACGAAAAGCAGCGATGTACTCTGTTGCTTCTGGTATGTTGCTCGAACATGTCATGTCGTATGTCTTGCGCGCATTTAATAAGGAATAAAATTTGCCGATGGGTAAATTTTATCAACAGAGAATTGATGTCGATGAATCTTACACAATGTTTACATATGTAATAATTTCGTATTTTCAGTACTAGTACTCCTTGGTACAGCCAGGATTTTCGACTTACCACCTTTTCAAGATAAATTTAAACGCAGCTGAGGATTAAGTTACTTAAGCAAGTGTAAATCCAGAGCATTTTGTAGCAATTGCACATAAAACAATGTGAGTTCGATATTAAAACCACTTGTATATTATATTCTCTTTCCTCACTTATATTCGTCACTTGCCTCTGACAAATATTTTTGAAGGTTTAATTTAGACTTTAGATATTGTAATGTTCTTTAAAAAATTATTGCACTGCTTGTTAAAATGTACATTAAATTGTTTTACTTTATATAATTATTTTATATAAGAATTAAAGTATAAACGCAATTAAGATATTTAACAAATCTCTTATCTTTATATATCTTTATCACCCGAGACTTTTAGATGACACATCGTTAGGTCATTTTATTCTCAGCGTCAAAATGGTATCAGATAGATAATAAAATATACTTTATTTTGTAAAATATTGCAGAGCAATTACTTTCTAGAATCATTTCTTACCTCTTTAAAGCTTTTAGTTTTAAAACGCGGCATAGGAATGCAAGCATTATGTATATGTATATATTGTTTGCGTTCATTCTGCGAAACGTCGAGGCTGATGCGGTGCGAAAACATCGATGCGCGCGGGCGCACGCGCGCGTACGCATTGCACGTGTTGCAAAATGCGAAGGCGCGCGTGCAGTGCAGAGAACGAGCCGTGAACGCTTTCGTGGTGCGCGCCCGCTCGTTAATATTCGCGTCGCGTTACTTCCTGTTACGTACTCCACGATACACTTACAGGACACGCCGGCCGTTGCGTAGCGATGTAAACTCGTCTACTCGCTCTGCGAGTCTGCGAGCATCGAGTTCGATCGCCTACGCGACTGAAACGTGTCCTGTAACAAAGTATCAGAGTATTCGGATGTGCCAATAGTCCGACAATTATACGTTTTACGTTTAATTTAAGATCATTCTTTGTTTTGAATTGCTTAAAAATTTGTCACACAGCACATATATCAGCGATTATTTTCATTTTCAAAAAATACAGATCAACTTTTAGTCAATACAACAACCACATTTTTCTGAACAATTTAACAATTTTGAGAAGTTAAAGAAAAATTATTTACAGAAATTTATTGTATTGGAGGATAAGAATTTAAAAACAGGACTATTATAGTCGTTATCATTTATGATTCAATGTCAAAAGTTAGAAGAATATGTGACAGTTACGGAGCTGTAAAAAAATATATGCCTGTGCTTGAAGCATTTGCATTGCCTGAGGCAAATCGATCGACGATTAACCATAAATAGAATGCAGGTTCTTGTCCTCTCGCGTAGATACTCGTCCAACGCCGAAACCGGAGGTGCGATCGGAGCGACTTTTGTCAGTCTCAGACGAGGTCGTGTCTAAGGCCGTTCTCCGAGTTCTTCTGGCGCCACACCCAGGCGTTCCTGATGGCACACGAAGAAGAGGTCGTGTGTTCCGCGCACGCCTTTTTTCCCACATCGACAGTCTCATCACGCAGGAGATCGCTCTTGTAATACTTGGAACACGGGACGATCCATCCGGTACACGTTCGGCGTGCCTGTTACGTGTGCTGCCTGTGCCCCGTTTGCGATGGACAGACAATCAGGCCTGCGTCCCGCGATCCGCTTGGTCCACCTCGTGCATTCTTAATAGAAGAAATACGAAATTATTAGAAGCAAAAGACGCAAAAGACCGTCCTCTCCGAAGGAGAAGAGAAAGATCAGTCATAAGACAGATACCGCGAAGTCTGCTTTTATTTCGGCAGGAATGTTTTAAATTTAAGTCTCGTGAAATATCTGCATTGTCAAAAATTGAAAGATATATGGAAAAGTTTTAAGCGTACAACAGTGAAATGGAACACTCCGCGTTTTGTCCCACTGTCAAATCTCGCCTGTATCGACTGACAGAAGTCATCAAGGCTGTTCATCGGTCCCTTCTTTTCTTTCAGAAAACTGAACATGCCGCAAACAAGACATAAAATACACGATTCTCCGGAAGCGCCGTCGGTGTGGTTTTACAGCGTGTTTTCTTTTTTCTTTTTTTTTTTGTCTCTGGCGAATGAGTCGTGCACGACCGCAGAAACGAGCACGTTGCGTATATCGGCGATTCGACGCGGTTCACCAGGCTGTGGAAACCAAGAATTTCGTTATTAACCCCCACGTTACGTAATTCGCCTACAGGTCTGAGGAAAGAAAAACCGGGCGACGCCACACTCTTCGAATGACAAACGAAGAAGGGAAAAAAAAATAACGGAGAAAGGAAGGGAAACGATGAGAAGACTGATGTCACTGATGAGGAGGAAGGATCAAGATTTCATCCTCATTTAATAAATCCAACGTTCCAGCCGCAATGGATGGTTCGCAAGATGAGAGAAAGCAAGAACTCGAAGCGTGCTGCGCCCCTCGCACTCGGGATTGCGTCACGCGTAATTGCAAGATCGTTCGTCCATTCGTTTCAAAGATCCCGGAGAACTTAAAGTATCATATGTGTGTAGCGCAATTTTTCCTGAATTTCATCGGCTTCATATTTCATCATTCACTGACGTTTTTCACTTATATAGTAAAATAAAATAAAACTATAATAAAATTAACTTAAACACCTTGTTCCACCTAAAAAAAATAATTACATTTTGATCTCACGTTTTCCCACTTATCTTTCCACTGTTACCTTTTCCAATTGTTTCATATTACAAATATTATTCTGTAATCATTAAATAGCAAGTAAAATTTATTTTCTATTTTTTTAACTTTGATTCGATCAGCTATTATCCTTTTTTTCATCTTCAAATCTCAGCAAGGTATTTACGACTGAATAGCATTATTTATCTCCAATAATAATTTTGTTAATCGAAATTTAAGTTTGATCCAACTAGATATATTTTTGCTCTGTGTCTGATGACCCGGCGAGCGAGTTCGCTGAAATTAGAGCAACGATTTGATTTCTTCACATGAACGCGAAATTTATTATCAAATTCTGTCGTGCCACAGCGAGATTCAGAAATAACTGTCTGCGCGTATCGATCGGATTATTTCGAGATATAATATTTGCGTCCTGGGTAACTGGGTTCTATGAATTCATCAAATTGCTGTTTTTATTCAAAATTCCACATTGAAGTTTTATAACGAAAATTAAGTGCAGAAAAAAATTTTTGACGCGCTGTTTTTCAATTGTGCTCTAATTGTTTTCAACATTGAATTTTTTTCCATGCATCATAAAATGAAACGAGATTGTTTTATCAACAGGGATAATTTTATTCGAGGAGTATAAGTACGAAATGTTGGTACAAAAGATCGAATCATGAAATTCGCTTCAACTTCCGCTTGAGTTTAACGGTTCACGTACTCGTTTAGGATTACATTCGCTTGTAAATCCGATTAGTGCAAATATCAACTCGACGGTAATTTGGCTCCTCCGTCTTTAGAAGGCTCACATCTAACTTTGATTACATCAAAAGTGCCTGCCCTACAGGAAAATAAGTGAATTCAAAGGAATTCATAGAAATTTCTATTCCGTGAAATTATAACTTTCTAATCTTCTAGTCTTCGAAAGTCAGGAAACGAAATTACAAAAAATTAATTTTTTTTTATTTAAATATGAAATATCCAGACAGACAGGAAGAGAAAGAGAGAGTAAAAATCTTTTAATTAAATTATTTTCTTGTAAGAACAAGATTCTTAATATATTCATTTTTTTCTAAAAAATGTGTACTGAACACAATTTATTATCCGCGTTAAATTATTCGAATCATTGTTTTTTTTAAATCATTTCTCATTTCTACGCGTGTAATATTATTTTGTGGACGCGAAAGATACTCCAGCTTTTGAGAGAATTGTCTTAATGAAAAGGTTTCGCTATTGGTCTTATATTTACGTGGTTAATGACATGTCCAGAAAGAAAATTATCTCACGGATCTCGGTTAGCTTATCGGTTTCCAAACGCAAACTACAATAAATTTAGCATTCCGGGGGCCAATGTTAACACGATTCTAAATCAAGAAAATCACCCGCGTGTCCTATCTCTGTTGCGCGATCTCCGCCTGCCTTTAACAACTTGCCTATTCAGGTGGATCATCCCATGGTAGAGATCTTCGCAGAAATCCGCAAATCGAGAAAGGACCGTTGCACAAGGAGGATGCACCGTTGCAACTGCATCTCTTCTCCATTCTCGACCTTTAGGGCCGGCACGAGGCACAAATCACAACGCGCCGCGCGCTCGCTCGGCTCGGCTCGCGTGCGGGGAATTTATTGCGAAATAAACTAGATTCTTTTCTTTTTTTTCCTTCTTAAGGTCGCGACACTCTCGCGACGACGTGTTCTGACGCAAACTCTACGATGCATCGCATTATTACGCGTGACCAATGAATAAATATCTCCTCCACCTCCTCCTCCTCCTAAGGGATAAAAAGAAACAAAGATGATAAAATGATGATGCAGCTCGCGGGCTTAACGTTAATTATACAAATGACATACACGTTCGACATGTGGTATCATTTAGAAGAGAATATATAAAATAAAAAAAAATTTGGCTTCTACTTCTATCTGAATGGCTCTTCTCTCTCTTTGAGTTGTGTCATTTCTAGCTGTTAACTTGTCAAAGTGTGACTCTCAATCATTGCTTTATCGCTGTCTCCCGTTCGAAACGCGCGTTTAAAGATAGTTTCGTAAAAATTGGCAAGGTGGCTTTTCGCGTTTCGTATCGCACGCCGACCTTTCGGGGCCGAATCGCACACGCGACGAGTCACGGCATCACGTTGGCGATGCACGCACAGCTCCACGTATTGACACGCCGTTCACGCGTGCACGTATCCTCGCCAGTACTAGCACCGTACAACCAGGCACGCACAACCGCTAGAATACTAATATCCTGTGTGTGTGGGACACAGCTCGGCCGTCCACGTAAAATCCGTCTTTTATCCGCGTAAGGTCACACACCGATTCGGAAGAATTGATGCTAATGAGGAACCGTTACCATAATCAACTAACGATTACAAGTGAGAAATTGAAAGATCCATTGGAAAACGATATCCGAAACGGAGCGATAATTGTTATGTAAATTTTAGAGGCAGAACTTTTTAAATAAAATATTTTTCAGCAACTATCTCTCATTGCTTAAATTTCTCTCTCTCTCTCTTTCTCTTATTTTGTCTTATATTTAATTTATTAAAGAAAATTATTACGAAACAATTTTAGAGCAACGGATTAGTTTTTGCGGAAATGATATTTTTATCTCCTTTTATAATTGTCTCACCACGGCAAAGTGCTTAGCTGTCTAGTATTAAGATTGTAAGACTTGCAAGTTGTTTAAAAATGCTAATTGAGTTCATAAGATACTTGAGACCGGAAATTATCACCGGTATTAATCTACCGCTAAGAAAACTTTTTTTAATGGCGGCTCGATAGAAACCGAAACGAACGCAACAACCTTTCTTCATTTTTCTTCTTCTTCGTTTTCTGACTTGTCTTACGCGACAGCAAGAACCTAACGCAATCCTTCCGGGATTTATCTAACACCGGGTATCTTACCCGTTACATGACTCTTAGTTAAATAATTAATTACGCTAATAGCATTATGACATTTTGTGATTTAAAGCGTTCTTGTCAAGGAAAACCTTTCACTGACGCCTTCTTCCCTGACATGAATTATACTTGCAAAAACGTACGATGTACAGAAAATAAGATGCAAGATACGTCACCGTGATAATTATGCATTGTCGAATCGGTAACGGTTCTAAGAAAAAAAAAAAAAAAACACAAACAAAAACACAAAGTGTTAAATTAAGTAAGATATATATTAAAGATATAGCATTTCTCATTGACTTAAGACAGATGAGAACCGCAATTATCAGATGATTTTTAATTTCGCTCTTGTGGAGGAATCGCGGGAAATCGTGACAATCATGGGTTCCAAGGAAGGATCCAGGATCTTCCTGCGCGCATAAATAGCCGCGAACTGAGGAACCATGACATGACCTACCTCATAAAGTTACGCCGGTCGCTTGACGCGAATAAACACGTTAATATTACGGGAATTACTTGGAGAATTACTGCCGGATAGACAACTTGACGTCTCAAACATCTCGCTTCGGGCCGTCATTATCCGATATGCAATCCTTTTTAGGGACTTAGCACCTGGCTCGCCCTTTATCAGCCCCGCTACCGAAAGCTATTTGCCCTTATCGCCGTTTCTGCAGCGCGCGAATATATTTGATGTAATGCTTATTATCTGGAAGCGCAATGGAAATTACCGTTGATTTACGTAAACGAAAAACGTAAGCTCGCTGGTGAATATGCTGTTATCGTGAATATGCTAAATGAACGCTCCGTGTCTTAATGAACCAAGAAAAAAGATATAATTCTTAAGACTTAAAACACGTATCAAACGTAGAATCTTCACGTCCATTAATATTGTCTATTTACACTTTTCTAACAACCTTATCGTCTATCTGAATCAATCGTCAGTGGCACAAAATGATATATTCAAAAATTAACGGGGGGGGGGGGAGAAATAAAAAAATAATTGTTACAATTAAGTAAAATATTATCTTCAAAATAAGTTATCTCGTCATTATAAAAAATAACGGTGAGAAAAATGGACGATATTTCCCCGCACGTTCTGAGATTCCTTTCCGCGGTAAATCATCTGGAGTTTTGATTCCGCGGCGCGTTACATAAATCAGTTTCTATAATTAAAGTCAAACCGATCCCCGATCGAGTAGTAGTAGACAGAGCGAAAGAACTCCGCGAGTTTTCTCGCGGTATCGCTGCCTCCCGCTCGACTTCCTAATACCGAAAGGGAGGAGACGACAGGCCCCTCCCCTCCCTCCCTTTCTCTCCTTTAAAACACCGGGGGGCCCCTTCTTCGAGGCGCGGTGATAGAAACCAGCGTTGTGTGCAGGTTTATATAATAAAAGAATCAGGGGGAAGGAGAAGGCCCCGGCCCCAAACGCACATACCGCAGTCTCGCGAAATACCGGCACGCGGCGGCCGCGCGTTGCGCAAGAAGCGCCTGGCACGCCGGCATTATTCTGGGTTAAATAATATTATGTCACGAGGAAAGCGGGACTTGTGCAATTGGACGCGTGAGCGAACTCGTTCCGTCGGGTCAGCCGAAGAAACTTCGCTTCCTCTCTCCCTCGATCCCTCGATCGTCGCGGATTTTATCTCCCACCGCGTCGTCTCTCGCCGTATTATCGCGTACACGTCCCCGCGGTTACACCTCGCTGAATGTTTCACCGATTTGGATTCCCTGACCCGTTTGTATATATTTCGATCTAGTCTTCCAATTATCGGAAATATGCATAGGGATTTATGATAATTTCAACGGTTTTTAATAGGACCGAGTTACCGAGATATTCGGCGTTGAAAATTCAAAAGAACGCGATATATAGAGTAGTCCCATTAAACTTTCACCGAGGAAAGATCGATCTTCAATATTGATTCACTCTATGCTATGTTGTATTAATATTCGATTACTTAAAAAATACATAATTTCCCTAACGTACCTGCGGGCTAGATCTATATCTATCATGAAGAAGCATGAGCATTGAGAAAAATCTTTTTTTTTTCTTTTGTTATCAAGTAACGACGCTTT